GGAATCAAACTCAATTTTACCAAACACTTATTTGCCTATACTGAGTAGTCTCTGGTATATTTCACCACATGCATCTAAATTATCCGCTATACCCACCCCCAAAAAAGTTAATTCGGTTCATCTGGATGTAATGTTTTCAGTAGGAGAAACGATTCATCACTCATTCAAATGATGGGAAAGGCTGGGGAAACCTGCAGTCAGCTGAGACTGAAGAAGTCACTTGGATGAGTGACGAAAAGTTTCTTGCAATGAAAACACCACGTCCATATGAACAGAATCAACCTTTTGGGGCGATTTTCCATCCTGGATGATTGAGCATGCATCAATACGCCTGCAATAAGATTTCTATTACAGAAAGTACTTCTTAACTGAAACATAGGTCATCTGAACTCCCTTTCTTTTAGATGCTATATAACCAATGACAAGGTCAAGATGGGGACTACACTGGGACCATTCATCTTGGTGTTCCTCTTTAACATGATCATGTTTGCGGTGACAATCAGACGAGTTTGGACTCTACGCAAAAGCACAGAGGTACTGGGCAGTTTTGTGTTGCTATTGTCAACATGTCCTATGAAAGCTTAAAAATAACATCAATGAATTAGTCTTATAAACAACTGGTAGTTTTATATAACAAGAAAAATAAAGGCTAACTCTAGTCATCACTATTGTTAATTTTTATTTTACATTAGTCGTTCCTTTTAAAGGATGAACTGTGGGATGGGTTGTCTGTTAGCTTTTAAGACCAAGTAAATTCTCAGAAAAAATAAAGGAACATTTTTTATATAGAGTGTAGCATTAAGCCAACTTGATGAAGTAAACTTCTGGGATACTGATGTGGTCAGTTAAGTAGCAGAGGGAGTGTTAATCAGCCTCAGCTGATTTGACGTTAATGAAATAAACAGTGAGAGCTATGGATGCCATTAGATATCAGGATATCCTCGATCCATTGTCAGACCCTAAATTGGATCAGTGGTTTCTTGGTTCCTCCTGGTGCATGACAATTCAAAGACTCATTTGGCAGTTCCTGAAGGAAGAAAGACCTGATACCATTAACTGCCCCCACACCTATCTGACCTAAATTCAATAGAACACTTCTGGGACATTATGTTTTGGTCCATCCGATGGTGCCAGGTTACAGCTTAACTGTCCAGAAGCTCAGTGATGCACTGGTCCAGATCTGTGAGGAGATCCTTAAAGACACCATCCAACATCTCATTTTTTTCCAATGAGATCTGTTGTGTTTTTAAAGTGTTCCTTTAAATCTTTTCAGCACTGTATTGTATTTTGTAGTCATTTATTTAAAAACAAACAAACAAACAAACAAACAAAAAAACATACTTTAGTAATGACTATTTAAACACATTTGTCTTACTGTGTGAGATTGTATATAATCTCCTGTGTCATTCTATATTTGGCAAATCAGTTTGGGCAGAGTAACCGTGACAGAGCCAAGAAAGACATTTGTACCCTGCTGGGAGTCATGACTCTGCTCGGCATTACCTGGGGCCTGGTCTTCTTCTCTTTTGGATACCTGACTACTCCTGGCCTCTACCTCTTCTGCATCCTGAACTCACTGCAAGGTCTGTATAACCATTTGTATGTTAAGGCAAGTTTATTTATATAGCACAATTCAACAACAAGGTGATTCAAAGTGCTTTACAGAGACATTAAAAAACAAAAACAAATAAAAAGCATGATTTAACAGTAGATAAAATCAGTAGTTAAAATGTAAGTTTTGAAATTTAAGCTTAAAAGTAAAACAGTGTGGATTTGGTGCTTTATTCAAATGCAGCTGAGAACAGGTGAGTCTTTAACCTGGATTTAAATAAACAGAGTGTTTCAGCTGATCTGAGGCTTTCTGGGAGTTTGTTCCAGATATATGGAGCATAAAAGCTGAATGCAGCTTCTCCGTGTCTGGTTCTGACTCTGGGAACTGATAAAAAACCGGATCCAGATGACCTGAGGGATCTGGAAGGTTCATACTGGGTCAGAAGGTCACTGATGTATTTTGGTCCTAAACCATTCAGAGCTTTATAGACCAGCATCAGAAGTTTAAAGTCTATCCTATGTGGTCCACTTTTTTGGTCTTAGTGAGGACTCGAGCAGCAGAGCTCTGAATGAGCTGTAGTTGTCTGACTGATTTTTAAGGTAGACCTGTAAAGATGCTGTTACAGTAATCAAGCCTACTAAAGATGAATACATGGACTAGTTTTTCCAAGTCCTGTTGAGACATCAGATCTTTTATCCTTGATATATTCTTGAGGTGGTATTAAGCTGACTTTGTTATTGTCTTAATGTGTTTTTCTGAGTTTAGGTCTGCATCCATCACTACACCCAAATTTCTCGCCTGGTTTGTGGTTTTTAGGTGTATAGATTGAAGTTCTCTGGTGACCTGTAATCGTTTTTCTTTGGCTCCAAAGACTATTACTTCAGTTTTATTTTTGTTTAGCTGGAGAAAATTGTGACACAACCAGTCATTAATTTCCTCAATGCATTTACCAAGAGCCTGTACAGGGCCTTGGTCTCCTGGTGACATTGTGATATATATTTGTGTGTCATCTGCATAGCTGTGATAGTTTATTTTGTTGTTCTTTATAATCTGTGCCAGTGGGAGCATGTAAATGTTAAACAGAAGGAGTACCCTGTATTTAGTTTAGTCATGTTTCTGTATTTTCCATGGTTAGTTATCTCACTTCCTGTTTTATTTTAGAGTTTGTGTTCCTTGTTTGTTGTCATGAGTTTTACTTCCCTTGTGTTGTCTGATCGTTCTGTTCAGCCATGTCTTGTCCTCCCCACCTCTCTTTGCTCAAATCAACCTTCAGTATATATATTGTCACTGTCTACATGGATCCTTTTCAAAAAGCACCTGTTGCTGTTACTTGCTCCCCAGTGTTTTTGTTCTTCCTTTCTTTGCTCCTGCATCTCTCCTTGGCTCCATGTTCTAATTAGTGTGTTTTTAAATCTGTAGACTTCAGTTTCCCTTTGTACTCATGTTAGTCAGCCTGTGGTATTTTCTCATTGTACATGTACAATGACAATAAAGGTCTATTCTATTCTATTAAACTATTCTATTAAATGAATGACTTACTTTAAGTTTCAATCAATCTGTCTCCAAGCGTCTGCGTTTTGGTCCTTCACAACTTACACTCTGCACATCGTGCAGATTCTGACACACAGATGAATTACTACTTTCATTTTCAAATGTGCGTACTCATTGCATCTCCTGTACACAGTCTAAACATTTACTTCTCTCCCTCTCTCTTGCTTGTTCCATGCAGGTTTCTTCATCTTCCTGTGGTTTATGATGTCACTGAGAAAGGCTAAAACCGCAGTTACTAAGACAAGCAGTGAAACACAAACCACCAGCACCTAGCTTACACACAACTACCAATACCCCAAGATGTGACTATGTGTGTGCTGTTGGAATGTTTAATGTAATATTAACTTAGAAACATTGTTGTATACATGAGTTCAAGAAGAAATTGTATCAGATAAGGTATCAACTGACACTAAAAAAATGTATGTGAATGTATTAAGTGTGAAGATTTTAACAGCTCAAATTTAGTTTGAAGTTTTCTTTTTATTGCAATAGACAGAGTTTTTGTGGCAGGCGGTTTATCTTATTGTTAGAGGATAGATCACCTGTCTCTTTTTACACCCGCTTTCAGAGATCAGAGGCAAAACAACATAAAATTGCTATTTTGTCACATTTTCACCAGTATGCACATTAGATCTTAGTTTTAAATGAAACTCACCTGGCATTAGTTTAGTATTTTAAGAGGCTGTTATGTTGATTGATTGCACATACAGCATTTTGCTTTATTGTAATTGAACTGGTCTGAAAATTATTTTATATTAAAGCACATTGTGAATCACTAAAGGCTGTGGTGTTAGTAATAACAGTAATAGCTGTCTTATTACCTTCACCCTATGGACATTTACGAGTTACGGGCATTCTAAAGTGAAAATCTCAGTTTTGTTCAGTATCAT